CCCCAAAACCCCAAAACCCCAAAACCCCTATTCCATATAATACTAATGATATAATATATTTCTGAAATGGAAGAGCATCAACACGAAACACAAATTAGGATTCCAGAAACAGCCAAGATCAAAAGACTTAAGTCCATAAATAAAGCAGAGTCATCAGAAACTAGCAATGGTGACCATCATAAAGTCGAACTTTCTCGCAAAAGAAGCAAGTCTGCAGCCGAAGACAACAAGAAGCAAACCAACGATGACGACATAAAAGTTGTCTACAAGCCCTCAGACTTCAAAATCGTGAAGGAAGTCGGAGAAGGGTCGTATGGCAGAGTGTACCTTGCCAAGCGAGTTTCAGACAAAAAGAAAGTCGCCATCAAAATGTTGGACAAACACCATCTCATCAAAAGCCAGAAAGTGGAGCATGTTATGAGAGAAAAGAAAATTCTCAGCGAGTTCAGCCATCCCAACTTGATCGAACTGGTGGGGACATTCCAAGACGAAGATAACTTGTACTTCGTGTTGGGGTACGAAGAAAATGGAGACCTCGCAGGCATGCTTAAGAAAATGAGCAAACTTCCAATCGAAATCATCAGGTATTACTCTGCTCAGCTGGTCGGAGTTCTCCAGTACATCCATTTCAATGGAATTGTTCACAGAGACTTGAAGCCCCAGAACATCCTAATTTCGAAAGACTTTAGACTCAAACTCATTGACTTTGGAGACTCTCTAGTTGAAGGGGCCACAGAAGACATTGAAACTCCAGATGATAACTCTGAAGACCTTGACGAAGAAGACAAGAAACAAATCGAAGCAGACTCCAACAAACACAAATATGCTGAATTCAGAGCTCATGATGAAGATGCACCCGAAGATCCAGGATACAAAAAGATGCAAGAGTACAGAGGCACTTTTGTTGGGACTCCACTTTATGTTGCACCAGAAATGCTCAAAGAGTCGATGTCAGGGCACTTTACAGATTTGTGGGCTCTTGGGTGAATTATCTTCCAAATGGTAGCAGGTGAAGTTCCATTCAAAGGCAAAACTGACTTCCAAACATTTGACATTATAATGAACAGAGAATTCAAGTGGCCTGAGGATATCGATGAAGACCTCAAAGATCTCATCAACAAACTTCTTGTAATAGAACCAATGCATAGACTCGGAGCTGGCAGACCAGACAGCTGCCATTCGTATGAAGATTTGATGCAGCATCCGTTTTTCACAGGAATTGACTGGTTAACTATTGGAAAAGACCCAATCCCTTATGATGCAAAGGTTCTCAAACGTATAATCAAGAAAAAGTCAGCACTTAACATACTTGAGCCATCAGACACAGCTCCAGATACCACTGACTCATCAAATACTGATGATAACCGAGTGCGACAGTCTGAAGTTGATGTAAAGCTTCAAAGTCCTGAAGAATTCGAACAGCTATTTGAAGAAGGAAAAGAACTTAAACGAGGCTGGCTTATGAAGCGAAACCCCTGGTTCATCAATCAGAAAAGACTGTTCATTCTCACTAATCACCCCAAACTCATGTACTTCAAAGACGAAGAAACTTTGCGAGGAGAAATTCTGCTGAAACAAAACTGAGAAGCCAGAAAGATTTGTAAATACAAGTTTGAAGTGATCACCAAAGGCCGAACATACTATCTTAAACATCCTGACAAAGCTTCAGTAGATGTTTGGGTGCAAGAAATCAACGATGCAATCAGACAAAAGTACAGAAGTTAATTCTGAGTCAATTGTGAGCCAATTATTAACAGTGTAAGGATAAGAGACAACTCAGTTACTCTAGACACTGGGATTTTCAACTTGTCTTATCATGACTTCATAATAAGATATATTTATTCTACTCTCAGCGTAAGATCTTGATATCGGGGTTTTGGGGTTTTGGGGTTTTGGGGTTTTGGGG